TAATGTTGACTTTTTTCATAATTAATTATTACTATATATACTTTAAATATTAAATTTGTTTATTTTAGTTTGAATTACAAAATAAGAAAAAAATTAATTGAAAAAAGTAACTGTTTTATAAATTTAATAAGGATCATTATTATATTGATTAAGATGTATCATACATAATTTATTTAATATAGGATATAAGAATTAATTTAACGAAAATATACATTTCTGTTTGTTCTCATCTTATTTAATAAATCTAAAATAAAATATTATTAGAAATTACATTCAATATTTACATTTAGTAATTATAATTATTAAATGTAAATATTGTATTAATATAACAATATTGAAATTTTTTCAATTAATTGAATATTCAATATTAATTATTGATATTGAAATATTTTCGTAAACATTTGAAGATGCTGAATGAAAAATATTATCTATTTGATTCTTTTTCAAATTTACCATATAAACCAGATGAGTATTAAATAAAATGATTATAAATTCAAATTGAAAATTAGAATTTTTCTACCAATATTCCAATCTTAAATTTATTAAAATATATTCATTATAATACTTTATATATATACTCAAAGTTTCTCAACTTTATTATAATAACTATAACTAAAATAATACTCTTTCTCAAATGATCATCTTTAAAAATATTAATATATTTATCGTTTAAATTCATTAATATTCTTCAAATGTATTATAATATTTATGAGCGTCTGATATTAATAATTTTTGAATATAAATCTTAAATAATTAAGATATAAATTAAGACTCTTATAAACAATAAATGCTGGATTTTAAATGTAAAGATCACTCTTAAGAAAATATTCTTTTCTGGTGTAAATCAAGTGAGTGTTAGGAAAATAGATTTTTTTGTGCAAAATGCCAAAAATAGAAGAAAAATATTCAACATTTGATGAAGATGCTTAAAGCATTCTTGAATTGAAATCATTTTTAATTTAAAAATCAACACATACAAAGGACATTATATTAGAATATTAATTTAAGTTCTAACCAATATTTTAATCTATTGATAAATTCATATCTGTTTATTATACAAGCTCTTTGTATTTGAAGATTAACTTGATGATCTTATCCTCTATTTTATTTGACAAATTTGGAAATATAATTAATATGTATATTTTAGGATTATTGACCAAATTTTAGACATAGTTAGATGATCTTTTTATTTAATTAGAATTACACCTGATAACATATTAAATCACTGATTAATAAATTACAATCAATAAAAAAGAATATCAAAAAGGTTTGGATTTAATTTATATTCTATTAGGTATCTAATTAAGTATCTCAAATTAATAAACTGAAGCCATCGAACTATTTGATAAGTTGTTGTAAACTGAACCATATAATATTAAATTTATGTACTAAAAAGGTTAGTAATTGTAATTATTTTGAAGGAAATTCATTATGTATGTTGAATAAGTTTGAAAATACATTAAAATTATACAAAGATATACTAAAAATTAATCCAACACATGAAAAATCTTTGTAGAAAATAGGTAATTGAATTTTGAAACTTTAGGTGATATCTTAAGAGAATAAAGATTTTATTATCAAGCTAGATAGAATTATGAAAAATGCATAATTATAAATTCAAATATATCAGCAACTTAATACGAGATAGGTTTAATTTTTTTTATTTTTAAAGGTGAATGCTTACAAGATACTTTCTAATTTAAAGAAGCCTTGTAGTACTATACAAAAGCTATTAAGATAGACTCATCCAAAAAAGAGTACTTCTATTCTTAAGGTAATTAATAAGCTCATTTCATTTAGGAGATTGTCTAACCTAAATAGAAAGATATGAAGAAGCAACTTATAGTTTTAATAAAGTTTTAAATATGGATGCTAATCATGCTGAGGCATATGCAGGAAGAGGTATTATAATTATATTAAAAAATCAAAAGGAATATGTCTATTGTATTAAGGAAAGAACGAAGACGCATTAATTAATTTGAATAATTCATTAACTCTTAAATAAACTTGCTTAGGATTATATGGAAAAGGTATGATAGAGATAGTAAATCTTAGGATTATAATTATATTTGATGAATGATTATTTTGAAGCAATTTAGTATTTTGACAAAGCTTTGAACATTGAACCATAACATTTATTATCTTTGTGGGCTAAAAGTAAATTCAATTCTATTAATTCAAGGTGATTGCCTAAAAATGAAGAAAAAATATATGCAGGCAATTGAATAGTATGACAAAGTATTATTCATTAATCCTTTATATATCTTATCTCTATACGGGAAAGGTATAATTATTTCTATAAATTAAAGGAGGATGCTTAGCAGAAATGAATTAATTTAACTAGGCAATTGAATGGTATGAAAAAGCTTAAACAATTAATCCATAATATGTTGATTCATTATGTGGGAAAAGGAAATACTTTTTCATTAATGTAAGGTGAATGCTTAAAAATAATGAATAAATACGAATAGGCACTTGAGTGGTATTAAAAAGCATTGGCCATCAATCCTTAACATGTGCCATCATTATGGGAAACAGGTATATATAAATCAAATTCCATCAGGTGATTGCTTAAAAATGAACAATAAATTTATATAAGGACTTGAGTATTTTGAAAGAGCATTAAACATTGATCCAAAACATTTATTGTCTTTATGGGGCAAAATTAAATAAATTCAATTAAATAAGGCGAATGCTTAAAGATGATGAATCAAACTGAGGAGGCACTTAAATGGTATGATAAAGCATTGACTATGAACAAATAACATGTTTTATCTTTATGAGGAACTGGTAAAATAATAATCGAAATATCATAGGTGATTGTCTAAAAATAAAGAATCAATATGAATAAGCTCTTCAATGGTTTCAAAAAGCGCTTAAAATTGATCCAATACATATTTTATCTCTATGGGGAATAGGTAAGTATAACTCAATAAATCACAGGGGAATGCTTAAAGATGATGAATCGATTTGAAGAAGCGCTTGAATGGTATGACAAATTATTGTTCATAAATCCACAGCATATAGATTCCTTATATGGAAAAGTAAATTTATAAGAATTCATCAAAGGTGAATGTTTAAAAATGATGAATCAGTATGAATTAGCACTTGAATCGTATGATAAAGGATTAAGATTCAACGAAAAACATTTATTAACAATTTGGGGGAGAGGTAGTTTCAATTTTCAAATAATAAAGGTGATTGCCTAAAAATGATGTATCAATTTGAATAAGCTATTGAATGGTATGATAGAGCATTGAATATAAATCCATTACACAGCCTTTCTTTATGGGGAAAAGGTATATTAAATTAGATAAATCAAAGGTGAATGCTTAAAAATGATGAAGCAATTTAAATAAGCTCTCAAAAAGTATGATGAAGCTTTGAATATTAACCCTCAAGATGTCTAATCTTTACGGGGGAAAGGTAAATTTAATTCATTTTTAAGGTGACTGTCTACAGATAATGAATTAATTTGAATTGGCTTTTGAGTTTTTTGATTAAGCATTAATAATAGACCCAGAACATGTATTATCTTTATATGGTAAAGGTACAATTTTTAATTCTTTTAGCTTAATGTGCATATGCCTTAGGTTAATATGAAAAAGCAAATTCCTATTTAAAGAATGCAGATTAAATTAAGCCTAATTAATCTTATATTTTAGAATTATTAAGTAATTTATTTAGGCTCAATTAGAAATATGTAAGAATTAATTGAAACCTTGAAAATCTTAATATCATAATTTATTTATTAATTTAAATTCTTAATAATTCCAGATTTCTATTATTTTATTTTTTATGATTAATTTTAGTGGTAGCAAATAATAAAGAAATATTATAATTATGTTCTAGCCTCTCTTTGATAAATTTCTTACATATTTGTAGAAAAATATTAATAAATAATTAATCATACTTCTTAAAGTTATTCCTTTTTTTAATATATCTCTTATTAGTCATTATCAACAGATAGTTATTTCTATTATTAGTATTGCTCAAAGAAGGTAGGTTAATTAATCATCATGCCTGTTAAATAGTGGTAAATTTTAGAATTTAGTGATGTGATGAGGATTATTTTAAAACAAATCCTGTTAATAAGTAATTGAAGAAAATTAGGTAGCATTTTTTAAACTTTAGTAACCCCATATATATTTGATGAAAATTTCTTAAACCATATTAAATAGCTGATCTTTTAATAGAACTCTATAAATTTATTGATGTAAGAAATAAAAGACTTAGTATATATTAAATATGCAGTTTACCTTGAAATTTTGGAAGGTTCAAATGAAATTATTATGAAAAATTCAGTTCATTTCGCATCAAAAAAATCATGTTTGATAAATTCCACTAGATGTACTTATTTCTATTGATCCATATAATAATAAATTGTAAAGACTCTTGAATGATACATTGTGAAAATATATAAAAAAAATTAAAATTCCAACTAAATTAAAGGTATCAATAAGGAAGGTTTAAAGTTATTCTTTAAAGGATTTGATTATCGATAGATATTAGCTTATATTAAAAATTAGAGGATTAAAGAGGAAAATAACTGTATAAAGTGATAGAGTACTGATAAAAATTATCCCAATTAGGAGTGGAATAAAAATTTGAGAAGCAGATTTAATAATGCTTTCATCAAAAGAAATCTCACAAGCTTAGTCTTTATCTTTTAATTCTATATGAATAAAACTATAGTTAATTAATGAAGTTATTTTTTAAATCAATTTTTTGTTTTTTGCTAATATTTGAAATAATATTTGGAAAGTTATCCAATTACAACTTAAGATATTATTGTATTGGTAAGTTATATATATGCTCTTAAAAATGACATATGACAATCTTGAGCAAATAAAGTCTTCAATTTATTATTAACTATCAGAGATTATCATATTTAACATTTAAAGTTAATCACATTTATTTTGTTAATCCTTTATAACTATAAAATTCGAATGGAATCACTAAAAAGAGATTCAATAATCAAGAATAAATTTCTGAATAGATCTCCTGTTATTCCAATCAAGTATATTATAAATATTTATTAGCATAATAATGTATATATTTGAATTGAATTAATTATTAATATATTAATGTATTAATAGAAATTTATAATTTAATAATAATGAGTTTATATATAATTTTAATAGAATTAGAAAAAGATTTAATATTAATATTAATTATGAATTAAAAGAATGATACTAATATCAAATGCCCAAATTCAGAACATGTCAATAATGTAAAATTAGTATGTTTTAATGAATCTTGTAAAGCAGATAGATTATAATGCATTTAATGTATATAAAATGGAATTCATGTTTCTCATGTTTAACATTAATAAGATTTACCATTTTTGTTTGATCATATTTTAAATATTGAAAAACTATGTGAAGACTTAATTATAGATTTGAATAAATAAATGGATATGGCTTATTAATAATTCTATTTATTGATTGGAGGAATTAGATCAAAATATCAGAAATCTAAATAATAATTCCTTAACTTAGATTCTAAATAAATGAATTCTTTCTTTGCACAAAGTATTTAATTCAAATCATTTGAATAAACAAACTTAATATTAATCAAATAATCAATAAAAGATTTTCAAGATTCTATTGTAAAATTATTATCTGATTTAAAATTAACTGAATTAAATTATTATCAAATATCTAATTTAGATATTAATAAATCAGAACAATTATATAAAAAAGGTAATAAATCTATTAAATTAGGTTATAAACTATATTGGGATGATGATAATTATAAAGAGGCAATTAAAATATTTGATTAATCATTAATTTTTAATCCAAAACATTCTCTTTCATTATGGTGTAAAGGTATGATTATTATTTAATGTGTTAGCGGAGAGTTTAAGGATGCTTGGTTAATACAATGAAGCACTCATTTGGGCAGATAAAGCATTGTAAATAGATCCAAAACATTGTTTTTCATTATATTGTAAAGGTATGATTATTATTTAATGTGTTAGCGGAGAGTTTAAGGATGCTTGGTTAATACAATGAAGCAATCATTTGGGCAGATAAAGCATTGTAAATAGATCCAAAACATTGTTTTTCATTATATTGTAAAGGTATGATTATTATTTAATGTGTTAGCGGAGAGTTTAAGGATGCTTGGTTAATACAATGAAGCAATCATTTGGGCAGATAAAGCATTGTAAATAGATCCAAAACATTGTTTTTCATTATATTGTAAAGGTATGATTATTATTTAATGTGTTAGCGGAGAGTTTAAGGATGCTTGGTTAATACAATGAAGCAATCATTTGGGCAGATAAAGCATTGTCAGTAGATCCAAAACATTGTAGTTCATTATATTGTAAAGGTATGATTATTATTTAATGTGTTAGCTGCGAGTTTAAAGATGCTTGGTTAATACAATGAAGCAATCATTTGGGCAGATAAAGCATTGTAAGTAGTTCCAAAACATTGTAATTCATTATTTTGTAAAGGTATGATTATTATTTAATGTGTTAGCTGCGAGTTTAAGGATGCTTGGTTAATACAATGAAGCAATCATTTGGGCAGATAAAGCATTGTAAGTAGATCCAAAAGATTGTTTTTCATTATTTTGTAAAGGTATGATTATTATTTAATGTGTTAGCGGAGAGTTTAAGGATGCTTGGTTAATACAATGAAGCAATCATTTGGGCAGATAAAGCATTGTAAGTAGTTCCAAAACATTGTAATTCATTATTTTGTAAAGGTATGATTATTATTTAATGTGTTAGCGGAGAGTTTAAGGATGCTTGGTTAATACAATGAAGCAATCATTTGGGCAGATAAAGCATTGTAAGTAGATCCAAAACATTGTTTTTCATTATATTGTAAAGGTATGATTATTATTTAATTTGAAGGTAATTCATTAAGATAATTGAAAATGTTTAAATAATCTATGGAAGTGATTGAATAATCTCTATAAATTAATCCAAATCACTTTGATTCATTATGGGCAAAAGGTGAAAGTATCTTTTTAATTTATAGGTATATGTTTACAAGATTAGAATTAATATTAAGAAGCTTTAATATTTTATGAAAAAGCATTAATGATCAATCCAAATCATTAATGCACTAGAGACAGAAAAGGTATTATCTATATAAAATATTTAGATGAATGTTTAAAAGCTATAAATAAAAAATGAGTATTTATAAATATACAGATTCAAAATACATTAATATCATATTCAATATTTTTACACCTCAATCACTCATTTTGTTTCATACTTCTTTAAATGTTAGGAAAACTTTTATTTTGCTATTCTTACTTTAATATTAAAATTATTGAAATAACAAGGTCTTGGCTATGTATAAATGATATTTATAATTAAAATAACTTGTCTGGTAATTAACTATGAGAAAAACTGTTGATAATGTAGAATAAATTAAGATTCTATGATAAATCCTAAAAGTTATTGATTTTGAAAATATTTTATCATATCAAACTTCATCAATTTACTTAGAAATAAGCATTCTGTATTTAAAATTTTCCATTAAGCCTTTGATCTTAGACCAAAAACTTAAAGTTAATAAAATAAATAGCAGAGATATTATTTAAAAGACTACAAGAGTATTTTTGAAATGGCAACTTTATTTAAGGCAGATAAAAGTGTAATTATTAATTCGGAGTTATATTTTTTAGGATTTTAAAATTATTTTTTGACCTTTTTTATGATATGAAAGCTATTTAAATTGAATTATTAATAAGGGATTCTTATTTTCATCTCATTTCTATCTTTCAATATCCAAGATTATCAGATTAAATTAAAGACATATTTAATTAAGCAACTAAATTCCAATTATAACTCTAAGAGACAACTGAAAGCATCCAAATTGCTTTTCTAATTTGAAAGATGTTATGTTGCCTTAAATAATTTTTTTATGAATATTAATTAATCTAAATTTTAGAAAATTACAGAGTGCATTTTAGATTAATTTACTAAAGAATTCTAAAGAAGTAGGTATCTTATTACCAACTAAGCTCAAATTATATATTTTCATCTTAACTATTTTTATCTTTTTTATTCATTTTTTAACAATATACTTAATTTTTAGGCTAATTTATTCAAATTTCAATAACAATCCTTTCATCATGATTAGACATAAAATTTTGGATAAATTTTATTGATTTAGATAAGCAAACACATTCTTAGGTTATAAAATTTTTTTGTTTCTTTTTTCAAAAAAAATATCTTTTCAAGAAGCACCTCATTCAAATCCTTTTCTTTATTATTTAAAGTGAAGATTAACAATTATTCAATAGATTGATCATA